CTCCGGGTGGCGTTTACCCCGGCCCGACCCCACTCGCCGCCTCCCGCTCCGTCTTAAGCCGCCCGCTCTTCGCCCATCCAGCTCCATGTCGACCGAACCGGCCCCCCAACCACACCCACCCCCGGACCTCGCCGCCATGTCGCCGACCGACCCTGACATGACGCCCAAGGTGTGCATCGCGCGCGCGCCCGCGGGCGGCCCCAACCTGTGGGAGCTGCGCTCGCGCGTCGAGGGCGACTACCCGGACTTCCCGTTCATCGACATCGCCGCCCCGGACTTCTCGCTCTCCGACTACATGGACACCCTGCGCGACATCTTCATGGCCATGGGCATCCCGCGCCAGCACATCACCATCGCCTGGCAGGACCTCACCTGCAACGTCCCCGTCCTCCCGCCGTCCGAGGCCATCCAGACCGTCGTCTCGGCCTTCACCGGCGGCAGGTCCCTGCTCAAGAACGGCGGCGCGAAGCTCAAGCCCAGTCTCGATGATAGCACCTCCACCGCCGCGAAGGACGACCCCACCCCGGAGAGGGCTGACGTCCTCTCGCATGCCTCGGGCTACGTCGAGCCCGGCACTATGTGCCTCGTCCTGGGGCCCTCGGGCTGTGGTAGCAGCTTGCTGCTCAAGCGCCTGGCTGGGAGGCCTATTGGCTCCACGGTTGAACTCGGTGGAAAGGTACTGTTCAACGGCCAGGAGAAGCTCAATGGTTTCCTTCACCCCTCCCATTTCGCCCAGTATGTTGCCCAGTATGACGAGCATCTTGCCCATCTCACCGTCAGGCAGACCTTGGAGTTTGCAGCCGCCTGCAAGTGGCCCACCTGGGTGCCCCATGTCGAGGCCATTCGAAAGAATGACGTCCTCCTCACGGCAAGGATGCTCAAGATTGAGCGCACCTTGGATACCATCATTGGAAATGAGACCCTCAGAGGCGTCAGTGGTGGAGAGAGGAAGAGAGTTACAATTGGCGAAATGCTTGTCGGCATGAATGCTGGTTGCGTCGTCATGGACAACTGGTCCAAGGGGCTGGACAGTAGCACCACCCTTAGCATCACCCGCTCTATGCGTGAGATTGCCGATATCTCTAATGTCCCTGTAATCACTTCCATGCAGGCCCCTGGTGCCGATGCCTTCAAGTTGTTCGATACTCTCTGCGTCATGGAACAGGGACATATCATCTACTTTGGCCCGCGCGATCAGGCTGAGAGTTGGTTCCTCGGCTTGGGATTCCATAGACCTCCGCAACGCTCTGTCCCAGACTTTATTGCCACTGTCGCAAACCCGGCATTGCGCGCCGAGTATCTTCATGTAGACCTTGATATCAATGCCTTGGAGGACGTGCCTCCGACCACGCCTGAGGAGTTTGCAGACCGTTTTGAGAGAAGCGAACTCTCCGCAATGCTTGGACAGAAAGTCATGGAGGCCAGCGCAAGGAAGCCGCTTCCGGAGCCGAACATCGAAATGCCTCACTCCCTTTGGCAGGTTGGACAGAAGGCAACTCTCAACAAACCTCGCCATCAGATCAAGGCCATTGGCAGACGTCAGCTTCAGTTTATAGGAGCAACAAAGGATGCCCTGTTGGCTGACCTCGCTCAAAATCTCATTCTCGGTGTCATGTTGGGCTCTATATTCTGGCAACTAGATAAGGACGCTGCGGGTGCTACCACCAGAGGCGGCTTGTTGTTCCTCGCTCTTTTGTTTATGAGTTTGGCGTCTCTTGCAAAACTTCCGGAAAAGCATGACGACAGGAAAGTCTTCGCCAAGCAACGTTACTCATCCTTTTACAGCGCCTGGCCAGCAATCTTGACGTATACGTTCTTTGATGTCGTCATAGAGATTGCGAGATCTTCCTGCTTCCTCATACCTCTCTATCTGATGGCAGGGATGAGTCTTGGTGGCAGTGCACAAAGACTTCTTTACGCTGTTCTCATCGTCTCCGTTGTTTCCCTCATCATGATCGCTCTTACGCGCTTCTTGGTGGCGGTGTTTGATGACTCGGAGAGTGCGCAGGGCGTTGGTGGTATCTTGACAATCATTCTTATCCTCTTCACCGGATTCATGAAACCGCCCCAGCTCATCGATGAATGGATCAAGTGGCTTTACTGGATCAATCCTTTGCATTATGCATTTGAAGCTCTGCTATTGAATGAATTTGACGGCCTCACGTTTAAATGCGACCCCGAAGAATTGCTCCCGCCACATCCAGCTGTGCCGATGGATTTACGCGTATGTACCGTGGGCGATGGGCTCGAGTTCATAGAGCAAATGTTGGGCGTAACCAACGGACCTATCTTCCGCCTATACTTTTTCCTCGTCTCCCTCGGTTTCCTCGTTGTGTTTGTACTGGTCGCTGCTGTTGCAACTGCTCTGTCCAAGCCATCGGGACACGCATTGAAGCTTAGATCGAAAGCCGATATGAACAGGAGAACGGAGTTGGAGTCTGTGTCGCATTCTGTCTCTATTGATGTTCGGGGTGCCAAAATGAAGACGAATACACGCTTTACGTTCAAGGATGTAGTTTATGCTGTAGCAGATGGGAAGAAGCGTTTGCTGAATGAGATTTCCGGTCATGCCATCGGAGGCAAGGTTGTGCTTTTGATGGGTGAGAGTGGGGCAGGAAAATCAACACTGTTAGATGTTTGCTCGCTGAGGAAGACGATGGGCAAGGGTACTACTATGGATGGAGACATCCGCATCAACGGGGTCCCGATCAGCAAGGAGAAAATTGCCCATTGGACTGGCTATTGCGAACAAAATGACATGCATATCGGGGAAGCAACCGTGAAGGAAGCCGTTTGTTTCAGTGCCAACCTTCGTTTACCAAAAGTAATTAGGAAACGTGAGAAGAATGTTCGTGCCATGGAAACGATTGATTTGTTGGGGCTCACTCCTTTCGCAGATATCCTCGTGAAATCGCTTGGAGCTGGAGAGTTGAAACTCCTCACAATGGCACTAGAGGTGGTGGCCGACCCAATTGTGCTGTTCTTGGATGAGCCGACCAGTGGAATTTCAGCATCGAGCGCCTTAGTGGTGGCTAATGCTCTGCGCAAGATCGCTGACACAGGAACCAGCGTGATATGCACAGTTCATCAGCCAAGCACGGAGGTGTTTGCCATGTTTGACCAACTGTTGCTCTTGAAGCGTGGTGGAAAGCAAGTGTACTTCGGTGACATCGGTGAAGGTGGTGGCGCTATCAGAAACTACTTCCGCTCCAGGGGTGCACCTGAGATGGAGGAGGACACAAATCCGGCTGATTGGATGTTGGATGTCATCGCAGATGAGAGCAAAGACTGGTCAGGGGAATGGAGAGACAGTGAGGAGAGAAGGAAAACTGTGGATGAAGTTGAAGAGCTTGCAAAACCCGAGGATGATGTGGATTCATCAGAAGGCTCCTTCCAGGGTATTGGACTCCAGAAGCAGTTGTTTGAAGTGGTTCGAAGGCTATTCTGGCGATACTGGCGTCTTCCAGAATACAATCTTACGAGGGTTGTATTGATGCTTGCCATTGCCCTACTGATCGGTGTTTTATACCTTCGCGACGTTGAAGATACGCAGGTGGGGGCCCAAGTAGCATTCGCAGCGCTGTTCCTGACTGTGATACCCAGCAGTTTGAGTGCGCAAAACGTCATTCCACCTACAGTGAATGGACGCTCGGTGTTTTACAGGGAAATCGCATCAGGGACATATAAGCCGCTCTCTTTCCACTTTGCATTAGGGCTGGTTGAAATTCCCTTCACCTTCGTCGCCACCCTCGTTTTCACAATTGTGTTCTACTTCATGGTTGGATTGGATGCTGCTCGTTTTGGATACTTCTTTTTGGCAGCTCAGCTGCTCTACTACTTTTCCGTTGTCCTCGGGGTGATGTTGGCAAGTATTACCCCATCTATCGCCCTTGCTGAAATGATTGCGAGCTCATTCACATCCGTGTTCAATGTTCTCTCTGGGTTCTTTATCACGAAAAACGCCATGCCCGTGTGGTGGCGGTGGAGTACCTGGATAAATCCGTTTTTCTACTACCTTTCTGGTATCGTCCAGAATCAGATGAATGACAGGGACTTCACTTGCAAACCTACTGAGCTCTTGGAATTCGGGCTGCCTGAAGGCTTTGCCACTTGCGAGGAAATTCCGGACAGCAACTTTGGGACTGTGATAAGAAATGGCATTAGTACATGTACTTTCTGTCCCATTCCGAACGGCCAAGTGCTGATTGAGAGGTTCAGCGCTGATGATGTCAATAAGTGGGTTGGTCTTGTGGCCATTGGCGTGTCAATCATGGTTTGCCGTGTAGTCGCTGGATATGCATTTGCAAGGATTCGGTTCTTGTCGAGGTGACGGACTCCTATTTTGTCCAGTATGAACAAATAAACTGAGGTATATGTAGTTTTTATTCGAGTTATACTGCATTTGGGTTTGAGAAAGGATCGTGAGGGTCGAAGCAGTGTTTCTACTAGGTCAGCCAGCTGCTTGCCTGATACCTTTTAAGTGGGAAGAGTTAGCAGACTTCTCGGATCTTCACGCTTTTGTACTTCATGCCCATGGCTCTTGCTTTTCAAACGGTAAAATACAAGCAATAGGACCCCGTTCGCGTCACGCGGACACGAGAATTGTTGTGTGATGCGTAAGCTCTGAAGCGTGGAGGATGGAAGACGTAGGTGCACATTGTCCTCTAGTGTTGTGCTTCATGACGTATCTTTTCATTCCAGACGTTTTTCAAATTCATTGATATCTTTTGCTACTAGGTTTCTTGGTCATCACTGGCATAGTGGACCGTGCTGCTCTTAAGACCTACTGGAAAATAACACATCAGGAAAATCCCTTACTCTCTGTCCTGTGGTCAGTACACCCAAGGCAAAATTGGCATGTTAATTCTTGCTTCCGTTCGTAGCTAGCTGTCGTTGGACTTATCTTTCCCTCACAATCAGCGAATCCGTCTAATGTAATGTCTACTTTTTCTTTCGTCCGAATAAACGCATGCCTCTAGATTTTTTGTATCCAACAACTACTTCAACTTGTGGATCATCCCGACCCTTGCTCTCATCCGTGTTCGAGTTGATGCTGACCTCTGACGGATCATCTACATTGGCTTCACTCTTCCGAGAGCCCATACCGCTCGCCGATGTTGCTCTTCCTGCTTCCAGTGCTTTCGCTTGCATAGCCCTTGACATTGCTAGCTCGACAGGGAGAGGGGGAAGCATCACGCGAATGCGTTGAACTGGGTCGGCCAGTGCTCCCACTGCCTCTACAAAGGCGTTTGGAGTCAAAACACTTGACCCACCAATTACTATATTAGCTTCCCTCTTTGCGCACACCTCGTACATCGCACGGACCTCAGAATAAGAAACGCCACCAACAACAAAGATTATATACAAATGGCCAGTTTCAGCCAGCCGAAATTTGTCATCATCAGATGCGGTTGATTGTTTAGATTCTCCTCGACCGAAAGCCTTCATGGCTGAAGCGACTGAAGCAGAATGAGAGCGGACAGCTGCCCCACCATACCGTAATGCTGCCTTTCCAGTCATATGACTAGATCTCTCGCTATCGTTTTGATCGCTCACGGACGACTCGCCAAGTGAAGCAATGATGGAATCTACGGACACAGACCCAATCTCTGGGAAGTCGCTTGTGTCGAGTTCGTCATCAACGAGGTCCATCATAACACTGCGCAGGGGTGGGTGATAGCGTGCGACGTCGTATTCCAGTTCGTCTTGCTCTTCAAGACCGTGTCGCCTCCTTCGTATGGCGTTGTCTTTCTTCACTTGTTTGGCTTGCCGGCGATGCTCATATTTTTGCTTCAGTTTTGCTGCGACCGTGTCGGCATTGTCGCCGCCCACATGCGTATTTTGTGTGGCCTTGTAACTGCTAAGTCCTGAGCTGGCGATCGTCAAGAGTTTCTCCAGCCCCATCAAAGGTGCCCCCCCGCTGCCATCTTCATTCACGATATCTCTGATTTTGCTGCGGAGAAGTTTAGACCTGTAGGTTGCAGACTGTGCAAGAGCGGAGTTTTCACCTCCCAACCCTGGCAGTCCCTCGGCGATGACTAAGGCTATCATCACAAGACGGATTCGATGACATGGAGGCACCCTGCTGTCATCAAGAACTGCAGTGATGCATTCTAGCATTGCCTCTGGCCGTATTCTTGTTCCTTCTGAAGTCCGTCCTTGAAGCAAATCTTGTTCTACAAGAGCAAGATCCGTCAGCCCTTGCGTGGAGCCAAGTTCCAGGCACTCTCTAGCAGCCCGAATGTGCATTGCATGCTTGTCGGCGCGCAGCTGTGAATTGGGTAGTGCTCGCACGGCGGCGCTCATGTCCTTGATGTCGACATCACTTGTGCCCTTCCCCCGAATCTTGAAGGCAGCATCTGTTTCAAGAAATTCCTTCAAGGACGCTTGGGCCTTTGCAAGGGCTTCCTCAATAAACATAGAGCGAATGTCAGTCCATACTGGGTCGTTTTCCTCGTCATCGATCTGAAGCCAGTTCTTCTTCTCAGTATTCTTTTCATCCGGGACCTCAACATGTGCACCACCAGGTTTCTGGTAGTTGAGCTTGAGGAGGTCATGCGCCATTGCTTGATACGAATATTCATGCACAAGTGGAGTGGTGAGATCTGCAATACGGTCGACAATAAGCAAAGTGGCTTTCACAGGAGACCCAACTTCGTCGGCGTCCCCACTTCCCCCCTCTACGACTTTCTCTTTATCGCCGGTTGTGTTGGCGCGACGTTCAATTCGTGCTGTTTCGAGCTGCTCCTTGACCAAACTGGCTACTGTCTTTGATGTGCCAGACGTAGCATCACAACGGACAGTCCAGTCTATAGACGGGGCGAGAATTCCACATGCCTCCGTTACGCGTTCTGATATCGTAGCCATTTCCTCGCGCGCATTCCCGTCGTCCGCGTAAATTTGTGGAAGCGAACTCGCCGGGCGTCCCAAGCTAAACAGGCGTGATTCAAGGGCAAGAAAGGCGACGTCTAGCTCGACGAGCGTGCGGACACGGCGCAACAAGGCCACGTTCCCTCTCAAGACGTCCATCTGAAAATCGGGAAGGCGGGAGGTGAAGAAAATGTGATACTCCCTGTATTGGGTTGCCTGCTCGGACGCGAGTTGCTGGACGGATTCGGCGGACGGAGTGATAAAGTAGAGAGCTGGGATGCGTGGGAGGGGTTCGCGTCGCATGTCGAGCATCTCGACAATGCTGATGCCTTCGTTGACAAGGTCGTTGACTTGAAGGGCGGCGGAGAGAATGCGGAGGGATTCGCGATCGACGACGAGGACTTTCCATTTGTTGGAGCCGGACTCGACCTTGCGAATCATGCCGTCGAGCAGGCGGGTCTGCAGAGCCTTCCGCAGCCCGCCTGACAGAGTCGCCATGACAGAGTTTGCGGTGTGGATGAGAGGTTGATGCAGTTGTAATGCTGAGGAGCTGCTGAGGAGATGTGCGAGTTGATTTTGTTTTCTCGAAAGTCGTAGCTGAGCGGAACAGGAGTGAGCAGTTTGGGTTGAAAGGAGGCTCCTGGAGGTAAGGGTTGACTATGTATGATGATGATGATTGGGTGCTCCCTCAAAGGAAATTGTAAGCAGAAATCGGGGCTTGTGTTGTCTGACCATGCGCTGTATCATACAGGGTACACTGTTGTGACGTAAGAAAATGAGATTTTTATTGTGACCAACGAAAAAATCGGCGAAATCATTTTTATTGAACAGCGATGCTTCTGCTTCGGCCCTTCCTTCTGGAGAACAATGGTGTTTGCCTTCTCCTTCTCCTTGGTCTGCTTCGGCCATTCCTTCTGGAGAACAATGCCGTTTGCCTTCTCCTTGGTGTCTCATCGCCCGTACAGTAGATCCTATACGGTGTATACTACCGTACGGGGACTAACGCTCATGTTCTCAGAATATATAAACGTAGCTGTATCCCCGCGCCTCTCAACCAAGCCTGAAATCCGTGATCGGGCATGTCTGCACAAGTAGTAGGTTGCAGTCTTCCCGGTCGCGTGCGACCATGCCGGGCAAAGTCGTGAAAATGGAAATTAACCTACTACAGTACCCCGTTTTTGTTCGTGAAAGACTCTAGCAGTTTTATCGCCAACTAGTCGAACCGCCTCGCTCGTTCTACCTTTGCACACTTGAACAAATCGGCAGGTCCTCTACATACGTAGCGTACGGTATACTGTACTGTACCTCAGTCAAAAGTTTCCATCGGGCAAGAGTCCTTCAAAATCTGCAACATACCCTCTGTCCAAACGTCGGAGGAATTGAGACATGGGATCAAGTCTAGACTCTCGCCGCCCGCCTCAATGAAGTCTTCCTTGCCGCGGATGCCAATTTCCTCCAGAGTCTCCAGGCAATCGGCTGTGAACGAGGGGACGACGACCGCTAGTCTCTTGACGCCGGCCTTGGCCAATTTGACCAGTTCAAAATCGGTGTACGGTTGGATCCAGACGGGCCCCGCAGCCGACAACCTCGACTGGAAGGCGATGGAGTACTTGCCGTCTGGGATCTCGCACGCGGCGGCGATGCGGCGGGCCGAGGCGAAGCTCTGGGCGCGGTAGCAATTGCGGTTGGCCTGGACGATGGAGGAGCAGCAGTTCTCCTGTTTTTGGCACAGCAGGCCGGTTTCGTCTGTAAGTTCACAGTGCTGTTGCGGGACGCCGTGGAAGGACATGAGCAAGTGGTCATATTTTTTGCACCCGACGCCAATGACGTCGCGAATAATAGAGGCGTACGAGTTGACGTAGGCGGGATGGTCGAAGAAGGCCGGGACCGTGTGCAGGTAGGGCGTGGAGTAGACTTTTGCGGCGGCTTTGTACACAATTTCGATCGCTGCTCCCGTGGAGGAGCTGGCATACTGCGGGTACATGGGGACGACAATGACTCTGTCGACGCCTCTGGCGCGGAAGTCTTCCATGACGGTGTAGACGTTGGGCTCACAGTACTGCATGCCGATGGCGACGTCATACTTTTCGCCGAGGCGGGCGGCGAGCTTCTCGGCAAAGTCCTGCGAGTGGAAGAGGAGCGGGGAGCCGCGTTCGTCGTCCCAGATGGAGGCGTAGGCCTCGGCGGACTCTGCCGGGCGCTTGGGCAGGATGAAGAGGTTGAGGACGAACCATTTGAGGAAGGGGTTGAGGTCGACGACGCGCGGATCGCCTAGGAACTGGCGGAGATACTCGCGGACGTCCGAAACGGAGAGCGAGGCTGGGGTGCCGATGTTGACGAGCAGGATGCCGGTTCGTCCGCGGAAGGGCGGGGAGACCTCCGGGGCGAGCTCTGCCTGGGACTCGAGCGGGGCGGGGGTGACGGTGGTGGAGGACGGGGTGGCGGCCGCGGTGGCGCGCGGGGGTGTGAGAAGGGGGCGGCGGTTGGGGCGGCGGGGGGAGAGGGTGCGGGTGCGGGTGCGGGTGAAGGAGGAGACGGGGCGGAGGGCGAGCGGCGGGGTGGGTAAGAAGGCCATGGCGGGCAAGTTACGGAGAGAGGGGGACAAGGACGGTGGGGGAGGAGATCGGGGCGACATGGTGGATGTGGCTGATGAGTTCTGTGAGCATAGGGGTGGGGGGATGGGTGGGGGGATGGGCGGGGGTTTTGCACTGGTGGGCATTTTCGTTGGTGTGATATTTTGAGCCGCTTGTGGCTCAACGCAAAGGGCGGCGTGAGCTCGACAAAATCTCGCATGTTGCTTTACAGTGCCTCTGCTTTTATTTTTCTAACTTTCAGGGGGGCCGATGCTACAGTATACCGCAGGACGGGCTTTACAGACTCACACATTTGAGTCGGGCATGATAGGGTCGAGCCGGGATAAGGCATGCGGGCGAGGGTGGCAGCTACAGTAAGGCGCTGGGAGAGACGAGGCTTGGCGGTTCCAAACAACAAATGCCATACTGTTTCATACTGGTTTCAACAACCCCGATGGCTCCCTTCCGTGGGGATTGGGGAGTGTGATGGAGGAAGAAAATTGCCATAGCTCTCTCCGTCGCCGTTTACGGTGAGGGGGGAGCCATTAGTACTTAATGGTATCATACAACAGGGAGAGCGTCTGGCGGCCGGCTTCATGATGTGATGACTGGCGTGCCGTATAGGCTGTGCCTTATCTCCTGATGTTGTACTGTACTACCTGGATGGAACCACAATGGTGGGTGTCTCAGCATGATCAACGCTACGCTCATATACTGTAAGCTATCCTCCTCAGCCGCATTTCGCTAAAAAAAGCAGAGAAAAGGAGAAACAATATTCAAAACTAATGTTTTTTAGCCACCCAAACCGCGGACATTACAGTTGTAGCACAACTACTGTACTTGTACTCTAGTGTATCTCTCTGGCCGTGTTTTGCCCGCCGCCTGCGCCGCCTGCGCCGCCTGCGCCGCCTGCGCCGCCTGCACCACTGTACACTCTTCGGAAAAGGGTACGAAGGTACTGACTGCACTGTACCCAAGGGTAATTTACTGTCGCAAAAATCTCAGTCTCGCCTCCGCACTCACGACAGTCCGTACCAAATGTCTTTCAGGCGACCCAGAGTTCCTTTCCTCTTCGGTGTCCCGTTAGGCATATCACCTCGCTCCTCGTGCGCCCGTGCAATTTCTCCCAGAAACGTGAACAGCACTTGCACTCCCTGCAAGTAATTCCTCTTGCTCATCTTCTCATTCTCAGAATGCGCCCCATCATCGCTCTGCCCCAACGGAAGTAGCATCGTCTCCACCCCGAGCTTTTCCTGTAGCAACCCAGCCACCGGAATGCTCCCTCCCTCCCGCGTCAGATCCGGTTTCACCCCATAAACCTTCAATAGTGCCGCCGCCCCACTCTGGTACAGCGGACACCGCGGGTCGGCCAGCCATGCCTTGGACGACGTCGACGTCACAGTCATTTTGTTTGCTGATTTCAATTCCGCAAATCGCTTTTCCAGCACTGCCTTCACCGACTCCTCTACCGCCTTTCCGTCCTGTCCGGGCACTAGTCGAATCGAAAATTTACCCGTCGCCGCCCCCGGGATCACCGTCTTAAACCCTTCCCCAGAGTACCCGCCCTCGATTCCGTGAATCGACAGCGACGGATATCGCCACCGGTTCATCAAAACTTCCTTCTCATTCTCTCCCAATAACGCTGGCACATCCCCTGCCTCGTGTCGAAATGCTTCTGCGTCAAAAGTAATCCCTTTGTACAATTCTGTCTCTGCTTCCGTTATAGGCGTCGCCGACTTCCGCCCGCAATTCTCAATCCCAATGTCCCCATGCCCATATTCCGATACGGCTGCCAGCAATTGAATCACGTCAGTCATCGGCTCTGCAATGCATCCTCCGTAAACCCCCGAGTGTAACGTCTGTGTTCCAGCCTTCACCTCGCAGTGGAACGTCGCAAGCCCGCGAAGACCATACGTCAGACATGGCTTGTCCGTGGTAACCCAATAATTGTCCGTAATGACCACATAATCGACATTGGATAGGAAACCACCCTTCGACTCGCGCTCGAGAAGATCGTCAAGGCATTCGCTATTGGACTCTTCCATGCCCTCGAGACAAAACTTGACATTCACTGGTAGCTCGAGCTCAAGTTCTCGATGAATCTCAATCGCCCATAACCAGGCAAGAATCGGGCCCTTGTCATCCGTACTACCGCGACCGTACAGTTTTCCATCAACTTCTGACAGAGTGAAAGGATCCGTCGACCACCCATCCGCCTCGGCAGCTGGCTGCACGTCATAGTGGCCGTAGACGAGAACGGTAGGTTTTTGCCGCGGCTTTCCCGCAGAAAACTCAGCAAGAATGACGGGAGGAAGGTCGTACCGCGAGCCGTCGTCGAGCTCTTGGAAGCCGACCAGGACTTTGTCTGACGAGCCGCCGAGTTCCTCTATCCAGCGGTGGAGAAGATCAGCCATTGCGAAGCAGTCATCGCGACACGAGAGATCTGTGGAGACGGAACGGATGGCCACGGCCTCGGCGAGGCGTTCGATATAGATGTGGGCGTTGGTGTTGATGAGCTTGCGGGCCTCGTTGAACATGTGGGGTCTGGGGGGCGGCTCCGCGACAGGGCCGGCTTCCCTGCTCAGAGGAGAGGTGACTTCTACCATCGGGGAGGGTATTGATGGAAGGGTGCGGGAGTGAGAGTGCAAGTGGGTTCTGTTTCTGTTGAGAGAGTGGCGAGGCGAGGGATGGTGGGCGGACTTTGGTGAGTGAATTTTGGTGAGTGATAAAGAGATGCGGGCAGGCGTGGGACGAAGCCCCCGGACGAAGCAGGGAGAGAGGCATAGCAGGTGGTGAGGGCGAGGTGTCAGCACAGAGTTGGACAGTGAAGAGAGAGAGAAGGCAGTAATTGGCACACTTGTATTTTGTGCAGAACGGTCGTTGCACAGTATTTTCGGACACGTGTAACGGATCCCAGCGTTGTACAGTATCCCGCGCCAGCGGTGCACTCATCCCAGTATCAGTCAACATAGACACCTCGGACACATCATGAATGACGTTTTTGTATTTTACACGTGTCAAAGCAATACATTTAGTGTGGCAGTCGCTGGGAACGGCCGGCAGTCGTCGACCGGGCCCGTCGTCGACAACATGGGCAGGCGTTTACTGTAATGGTGTAGCGGAGGACAACGGGACAGCACAGCCGGCGAATCATTGCCGTTTCTGCAAACAACCGGGCCAAAGCGGCCAAAGAGGAAGTGCCACGTGGACACGGAACAGCTCTGTCATCGCTGTTCATGGAACTTCCATGGTCCCTGGTTCGGGAAGATATCACACAATCATATGGTATGATCTACTCTCTCACTCGAAGAAGCGACCGTCGCCTCTACAAATCAATTTTTTGCCTCACGAACGGCAGTACAGATAGATGCCTTTCAATGCAAACACAACGGATACCCCTTTTACACACACACCGTCACACCGCTTTTGCTTCGCGGTCACCGAGTGTTGCCGTCTTTGTTGAGTACCACATCGCAAGTACTACGCAACGCCCTTGCCTCCAATCTTGGAGCGCCCCTGCCCTTCCGCTTTGTCCCCGAGCCCCCACTTTACCCGTTTCCGCAATCATATCGCAACGCCTTTCCCTGTTTTCACTCTTCTACCAATTCTTCCATATCCTTGTGCTCCTCGTCTGCACCTGCATCCATCGACACAAATCCTGTCCATTGTCTCTGATTTCCCCCATCCTTCCACGTCACCACCGTCTACCATCCTTCTCGCCGGACCCCCTTCTCAATCGCTTTCTCACACCCACATCTCCTCATCATGGGCGAAAAGGACAAGGCACAGGACGACGATGGAGATCGCGCCGTTCAGGTCTGGAAGATCAAGAAGCTCATTAAAGCACTAGAGCAGGCCCGTGGTAACGGAACAAGCATGATCTCACTAATTATCCCTCCTCGAGATCAAACCTCCCGCGTTAACAAGATGCTCAGTGACGAGTACGGGACCGCTTCAAATATCAAGTCCCGTGTCAACCGTCAATCCGTTCTCAGTGCCATCACCTCAACTCAGCAGCGTCTCAAGCTCTACCCCAAGGTACCTGACAACGGACTCGTTATCTACTGTGGTACAATTATGAACGACCAGAACAAGGAGCGTGAGGTCCTTGTTGACTTTGAACCGTTTAAGCCCATCAACACTTCTCTGTATTTGTGCGATAACAAATTCCACACAGAGGCTTTGGCGAGTCTACTAGAATCTGACGAGAAGTTTGGCTTTATCGTAATGGACGGAAATGGTGCTTTGTTCGGCTTGTTGACAGGCAACACCCGATCCGTTCTTCACAAGTTTTCCGTTGATCTTCCGAAGAAGCACGGTCGCGGAGGTCAGTCCGCATTGCGTTTTGCTCGCCTGCGGTTAGAGAAGCGCCATAACTTTGTCCGAAAAGTAGCAGAAATCGCAGTTACCCAGTTCATTCCGGATGGTCAAAAGGTCAACGTCACTGGTCTTATTCTTGCGGGTTCCGCAGACTTCAAAACAGAACTGTATACTTCAGAACTATTTGACCAGCGGCTGAAGGCCAAGGTCTTGAAGACGGTAGATGTCAGCTATGGAGGCGAAAATGGCTTCAACCAGGCCATTGACCTCTCAGCAGAGACACTTGGCAATGTCAAGTTTATTCAGGAAAAGAAGCTTGTACAAAGGTATTTCGACGAAATTTCCAAAGACACAAACAAGTATTGCTTCGGCGTAAGGGATACTATGTTGGCGTTGGAGCAAGGTGCTGTTGAGATTCTTATTGCTTGGGAGAATATGGAACACACCAGGCTTGAGCTTGAAAATCCACAGACAAATGAAAAGGTCATCAAGATCTTGAGCAAGCAGGAAATGAATGACATGTCACATTTCGTTGATCAGGAAACAAAGGTCGAACTTGAGACTCGGGAACAAGAACCTTTTGTCGACTGGATGGCCGCGCATTACAAGGACTTCGGCACAACTCTAGAATTCATCACCGATCGATCACAAGAAGGTGCACAATTTGTGCAGGGCTTTGGTGGTATCGGTGGGTTAATGCGATATGAGGTCAACTTCGAAGCGTTCGAGGAGCCTGAGGAAGACGAAGACTGGGAGGACCTTTTGGCTTAGAATGTTAACATGTGAAAAGGTTTGAACCATGCACAGAGAAGCGTCCCTAGTTGCAAATGGACGCATGACAGTTGCTGGGTAGACGGGAACATGGGTAGGGGTATGTGACTCTGCAAGTAGGGTTAACTGCGTGATTTTGTTTACGGAAATAGATAAAGCGCTGAAAATGTTCTCGGTTGGAGGATGTCTCCCGTGGAGGTGTCCGTTATCTCTTGTTCTTCATGCCGTAGACAAGGTCACTTTTCGCGGTGCTTACGTGGGGCCTTTTGAACCTCCACGCCCTACCCTCTTCTAGAACTGTTCTTACGACACTGATATGCAACTGCAACTCCTCTGTTGCTGAAGAAATGCATATGAATACTCGGGAACAGACACGTGATTACAGAACAGGCATGATCTCAGTTCTTTTCCCTCCCCGAGATTGCACCTCTCGCATAAACAATGCGCTCAGTTATGAGTACGGGATCTCTCTACATCTGAACTTCCGTGCCAAGTTCATTCTGTTCTCAGTACTCATCACGCCGACTCAGCCACGTTTCAAGCTCTGTTCAAAGGTACTTGACTTGACATCTACAGCGGTACATATACGCATGGCCAGCACACGGAGCGTGAGATTCTCGCCAAACTTGAGCCGAAATTCGTGTATGGCCGTGAAAGATGCCTAGAGAGATGTCTCCGACTGCAGGGAGGCGTATGATAGTTGCTGAGTAGACCGAAAGATGAGTATGAATATATCACTCTAGGTAGGACTGAGTGTTTGATCTTGTTTTACACGATTAATATCATGAATGCGCCGAACAAGTTGCTGGGATGGGGGGTGTCTCCCATGAAGGGTTCGTTACCGCTTATACTTTTTCTTCTCGTAGACAAGGTCGATTTTCGCAGTGCCAACGTTGACGATTTTCGGGCAACCGTCCCTATCCTTTTCCAGAACTGTACATTCAAAACAGTAGAATGCATCAGAAACTCCCGTGCCACCACAAACAATGCATTTTCCCTACGCGAAAGTTAAGTTGAATGCAGAATCGGGGAGTAAAACGTAGAATGAGAATGTGTCAGATCCCTTGCGATTTGATATCATTCTTTGGTTTCGAAGCGACTTTTCGTCAAGAGAGAGATGTCCTACCTGGAAAGTTCCGTAGTTGCACTCGTCACAAATTCTTGCCTCTGTCGTTTGCGACACTAGCGAATCGCATACGACACATTTCCCCTCACAGCGTTGACAGAGCTTGCCAACGACTATGCCGGGCTGTTTGCGGCACATAATTAAATCTGGGTGATGACGGGACATATTCTTCCCGATGGAGGCAACTCGTTGATACTGTTGTGGAAGAAAAGTGGCGTCAGGAGAGCCTCAGTTGGTGAAGTACGGGCAAAGCGTGGTATCGTCCGGCCGCGACAAACGATGAAATGCTCTTTCAGGCTTCTTTCTGTAGATGCGTTACCGGGGCAGATTAATTCTTGTGGCTGCAAACTTAGCCTTTCAAGACCCTTTAGACACCAAGCATGACGGCTGGCCGGGTGTTTGTGTTTCGAAGCCAAGTAGTAAACAGGAAAATGAATGACATACGAACTCCTCAGCTCTTTTGCTGCATACAGATCACTGCTGTGTTGTACAGTACCAAGGGTACCCTTGGGTACTCTATACTGTACCGGTACTGTAGCGCATGCCATGTAGACTACATGACAAGGGTACCGCAATGAGATCTAGACTACTTGATGATAATTTTTAAAGTTCTGCGGAGGAG